TGTCTCCCCAACTAGACTTTAAGCTGTAACAGAATATGTATGTTATTTCATTTTTCCATCATAACCCCATTTTTTACCAGTGTCTGACATAAAGTATATAGTTTCTCAGCAAAAATGTTGAAAGCTAAACACAAATATTTTTGTTTCTTTTCACATTTCTCTTAGATATATTTATTAAGGGCTTAGTTAAATGAGTAACCCTGCATTAAATACTCTGCTTATACGATGTCTAATCGCCATCACAACCCAGAAAGGTAGATATTATTATTCACTTTACAGATGAGTAAAACATAAATAACTACACAAGGCTACATGGTTTCTTATAAATCCTATTTTTGGCCTTAAAAAAAAAAGAACCTGTCCAATACATTCTCAGTAAAACCTATGTCTCTATATATGGTAAATCATGCAAACAGCATAGATGGGCTTGTACAATGGAAGAGTAGATATTTCCTCGGCCTTTGTGCCTCCAGACAGGCACTCCATTTCAATATTTGAAACTAATTCATTTACACATGCAGCACAGTAGCAAGATCCATTACTTAAGCTTGCCTCGATTTTAATAAAATCAGGTTCAGTATTCTCTGTAAAGGTTGAAATACTAAGCACATTATTACCTCTTCAAATTTTTAACAGACAGGTTCAATTCCAATGAGATAAAGAAAAATATTTTTTTCAGCTTCAAGAAAAAACTCAGAGGAAGTTAAATGTTGCCTAATAACCACATTGCTGAAGTTTAAGAGGGGTTTATAATGGTCTTTTGAACTGTAGGACATTGAATAGCCCTCTACTCCTTCCTGTGTGACTATCACTCTGGGAGGTCAGAGGGCTGTTGAATTCTGGGTGCTGATTGAAAATTTATTTTCTCTTAAGAATTTCAAAGAAGTAATTTCCTTGGCCTTTTGCTCTGTGCTGTGTGGAGACACTTCCCTTTGTTTCACTCTGGAGAAAATGATTAACCAGCCTTCAATGCCGTCACTTAGTGGTTTAGAAAAAAATTAGAAGGGATTATTATGATTTTCTGTTTATTATTGCTTTTCTCTGATAGATATTATTTCCTTGATCCAAAACAGCTCTGAAATTGAGCATCTGTATACAGGCTAAGGTAGGGAATAGGCAGCAGAGAAGAAGGTAGGAAAGAGGGGAAAGCAAAAACATTCTGTTACAACAAATAACAAAGACTTTAACACAACATCAAAGCAATCAAGTTTTACCCTTCCACATACTGTAGAGTTTTATCATCTTTGGGACATGAAGAGGAAGGGATGAGTGAGAGGCTTTCGAACCTGAAAACATTATGTGAGTTGGTGAAATAAACTTTAAGAAAATCATGGAATATCACTAAGTGGGCAGTCACAAATACTGACGGCTTTGTCAACATCCTAAAAGAAGAAACTGAAAATGTGTTTGAGGGCCTTAGATAGCAGTTGATAACATAATTTAAGGCACTGATTATATTTTCTACAAGATATGAAAGTGATGAATACAAAGAGATTCCTGAGACCATGCAGTATGATTTTGAATACACCTTGCTGTCTTTATAAGGGACTTTTATAATATAATTTTTCTTCTTTATTTTCCTTCTTCAGGATTTCCTTAGATGACCATGTTTATCCCATAAGCAAGTATATATAAGAATTATGTATAAACATAAATTTATATATTTCAGAATATGAAACCCTTTTTAAATAATCTTCAAATGGCTAAATGTTATAAAAATAGATAGTTAAACTTTATATTCATTAAACTGAACTTTCCTCTTTTCTAACTCTTCATCTATTATGTAAAATTTGATCTTATACAGTTATATTCCATCAGCTAGATTGAATGATCTTTCTAATTCCTTACATCTTTATAAATTAGTGGGAAGTTACTTATACATCTAGGGAATTAATGATATGGAGACTTATGTTACGATTCCATTTCTATTGGCATTTCTCTTGTACAGTGAGAGAACCCTCTTTATCTGCACTATGAATGATTGGAAGAAAAGAACTCTTGCTATCAGTTCAAAATCAGGTTAACAGATATTTTCAGTTAGCCTTTCCCAAGTAGAACATAAAATCATTCAATTTTTTTGGAGAGTCTCCACACAATGAGAACAGTCTCAACTTAATAAATCAATTTATTAAATTAAATATTTCAATGTGGTAAATCTTTAAGACCTGGAGAGAACCACAATTAAACAAAGTCCATAAGCTTTATGAGTTACTAAAATAATAATCTACTTTAGAAGAGGGACAATCCTGTCTCCACAGGAAAACACTCTATTCAATCTCTGTTCTTTCAGATTATCTGTAAAAATTACATGTAATTGTTATTTAGAATGATAACTATAAATTAAATAAGTTAATAGAATAGGAAACTAATTTTCAATAAAATTTTGTGGACAGTATCGTTTTTGGGGCATTTTGGCGGTATCTTATATGAAAACTTTTGTTTGTAAATGAGGAATAGCAAGTAATTCCATTTTGGATTTTTGAAAGTAAATGTAGGATGTCCACTCTGGCCAAGGTGGAGTAACAGAGATCAGATTTACCCTCCCCCATGAAATGGCCAAAAGAACAAAATACATGCAATGATAGTTTGTTTGCAAGAGTGGGTACCAGGTAATGAAGGAGAGAGATTCCAAAGAGCAAGGAAACAAATGAGGTGAGCTTTGTGTTTTCCTTGGCTAATTACCTTGAAAGAAATATGTAGGCCATGGCACAGTGAGCGGGGACCCAGTTAGAGCACCAAGACTCCTTGAGTTGAGGAGGCAGAGCGGGGAGTCCAGGGAGACTAAGGCAGCTGGAGTTGACAGACACAGTGCCAGAGACGAGAGAGCAACGCTGAGAAAACTGTTCTACGAGAAATGGTGAAGGAAGCCCTTTAGTCAGGGGGAAACAATACCAGACCAAAATATGGATCTGTATATGGAGAAAAGAGCAGTGAATGGATAAATATGTAGGATTTTCTTCTTCTTATTTAATTCTCTTCAAAAGGCAACCTAATGTTTAAGCTAAAATGATGAATGTGGGGTGTATAATATGGAAAAACAGAATGTATAATGGCTCAAAGTTATGGAAGTATCCTATTTTAAGGTTTTTAGAATATTTACACACAGTGCGTGGTAGAGTGTAACTTGAAAATAGACTGCAGTAAATGAAAAATGTATACTAGAATTTCTTCTTCTGGAGAGGTGAAATAGATACAAGTTGCCCTATTCTTTTTGCTAAGTACAACTAAAAACCCAAGGCATTATAGAAAAGATACATAAATTGATTTTTAAAGGTGGGGAGAAGAAGGAAGACAGATTTGGCACATTGGAATCCAATAAAGGACACAGATGTGAGGTCCCTCGGTTTCTTTTATCTCATATATCTGAGATTTGAAGGTGAATAAACTGACTACTCAGACACACCAGAGGTGCAGATCAAAAAAGCTCCAAAAGCCTGTTCTCTCTATGCTGAAAACCAGGAAAGGGCCAGACTAACAAAACAGAAGTCTTTTTAGACAATAACTGTTCTACTCCAGCCAAATCCCATAGAAGAGACTGTGGCCCCCAACTTCACCCGTGCCAGCAAAGGAATAGGGAGGCTAGGCTTCTTACCTCTCTAAGCTGTAATGAGGTGCCTCAACCTCTCTGCCAGGTTGTCAGTGAAGGGAGGAGTACCCCCACTCTGACACTTGTTACTTGGGCAATTTGGCTTCTCTGAGCCTCTGTCCATTTGTGAAATGAATGAATGATCATTCCTACTGGAGAAACTATAGTACATTGGGGAAACTGGGTAAAGGGAACATGGATCTTTCTGTATTATCATTTACAGCTATATATGAATCTATAATTATCTAAAAATGAAAGAGTTAACTAAAAAATTTTATTGAAAATGCAAGTGATATCCCTAAAATAACAAATGAGTTATGTAACTCATTATCAAAAATAAAAAGATAAAATCATAAAAAAGTTTGGTTTCCCAAAATATGACAGGAGAAGAGAAAAAAGATTGGACAAAAAATAACAAAACAATTTCAACTAATTATATCAATTATTATATTCAATGTAAATGGTTTAAATGTCCTAATTAAAAGCAGAGATTGTCAGGTTGAATTAAAAAATAAAGCTAGATCCCAACTATATGCTGCCTCCAAGACACAGATTTCAAATCTCTGTAGGCCCTTTTTATTCAACATCTAGAATCCCTTTAGTAAAATTATGTTATTCAGCATAAATAATAACATACTGAATAAATGTTCAGTTAAGGGAAACAGAGTTGGTGAACTTCAAGAGGCAATTTTGAAAAATGAACCTAAAATTGTTTGGCACTTCGTCCATCACTAAAAAAATATAGGTATAAGACTAAAGACCATTATTAGTACTTTAATCTCTCTACCTCTTCATGAATCACCAGTACATTTTTTTAATATTCTTTCAAAACTTCTCTTTAATATATGCCCGTTTGACTAAATATCAAGGTATACTTAGACTAGAGCAGAGGCCCACAAAAACTTGTATTTTATTTCTATTTCTCTCCCCTTCTTACCTCCATATATTTTTCTTTTCCTTTTTCTTCCTCTTTTAATATTGTTTTTTGGTTTATGATAACTATCATTTGTTTTACTTCTTCATGAAGCTTTCCTATGGAACTGAAGTGAAAAATTTTGGTGTTGGAGCAAAAGGTTGGCTTGAAATGTATATGGTTTGTTCCCTACCTTAACTGGAAGGTGGATTTCTATCCCTCCTCCTCCCTAGAATTTTGATACAGGCAATTGACATTTGTTCATTCTTATGAAAAATGCAGTGGTGTCCTCTGAGCACAATGACTGGGCTCCACAGTACGGGAGATGTTGAAGGTAGGGGCCATCATGGTGGCTGGGTAGGCAACCAAAGTTATGTGCCACACATTCCCTTCAAATAAACACCTTCAGAAATAGCTTTACTAGGAAGATTCATATTAAAATGGTTGAGTTTTGGCATAGGCTTCTGTTTTATTTCCCCTTGATTTTGCTGTGTTTCTCAGCTGCTGAAGGAATGGTGTGCAACCATCTATGCTCAAGCGACGGCTGTTGGGGACCTGGGCCAGACCAGTGCCTGTCATGCCGCCGGTTCAGCAGGGGAAGGACCTGCATAGAGTCTTGTAATCTCTATGATGGGTAAGGCATCTTACAATGTCACCTTAACCTCCTGAGCTTACTGATTGTTTCTGATTTAAAAATGATAAGAAATGGTAAAAAGTCAGAATTTATGTGCTGGCTAAGATTCTTAAGGAGAGTTCTTTTTTGCATAAAGAGACAACCTATAGAAGAATTGTTTTAAGGTGGAGTAATTTTATTTGCAATAACAAGTCCAAATATATATTGATTGTTACATACATTTAAAAAAATGTGTACCAAATTATACAATTCTTAATAAAATATAGCAAGTTATAATTAAGCAAAATTGAAAATTATATTCCTATTTTCCTTATGAAGGGGATTTTTATAAGTAATCATTCCTCTCTTATGGTCCAAAAAATTTTTTTATCATACTTTCCTGTTAATTTTCATCATCTGGTTACTGCAAAACATTTGATTATTTTTCCATTCAAGTTGTGTGTATATTTGTACACTAGGAATGACATGTTTCTATATGTCAGACTACTGCTTTGCCCTATAGAAAGATTAGCTTTGTAGTTCCGAGTTGAAGAGGTTTTTGAAAGTGTTCCACCACTTTCTAAAGATAACCTAAGCAATATTTTACATCAAGTATTTTAAATTCCTTCTAGTACTACAATAACCACATCGCCAACAATAAAGCCTAGTATACCTTTTGGCATGGCATTTCATATACTCATAAAATCAATTTATCATAACATACCATTTCATGCATCATCATTGTCCTTCATTAGTATGACAATGCATTTTTTTAGTACTATTCCTGTGTCAAATTTTCTTATACTGCTCACTGAAGGGATTCTCAACAGTTTTGTAAAAGTATAGCTTTGAAGTTCTTACCTCCTGAGCTTACTGATTGTTTCTGATTTAAAAATGATAAGAAATGGTAAAAAGTCAGAATTTATGTGCTGGCTAAGATTCTTAAGGAGAGTTCTTTTTTGCATAAAGAGACAACCTATAGAAGAATTGTTTTAAGGTGGAGTAATTTTATTTGCAATAACAAGTCCAAATATATATTGATTGTTACGTACATTTAAAAAAATGTGTACCAAATTATACAATTCTTAATAAAATATAGCAAGTTATAATTAAGCAAAATTGAAAATTATATTCCTATTTTCCTTATGAAGGGGATTTTTATAAGTAATCATTCCTCTCTTATGGTCCAAAAAATTTTTTTATCATACTTTCCTGTTAATTTTCATCATCTGGTTACTGCAAAACATTTGATTATTTTTCCATTCAAGTTGTGTGTATATTTGTACACTAGGAATGACATGTTTCTATATGTCAGACTACTGCTTTGCCCTATAGAAAGATTAGCTTTGTAGTTCCGAGTTGAAGAGGTTTTTGAAAGTGTTCCACCACTTTCTAAAGATAACCTAAGCAATATTTTACATCAAGTATTTTAAATTCCTTCTAGTACTACAATAACCACATCGCCAACAATAAAGCCTAGTATACCTTTTGGCATGGTATTTCATATACTCATAAAATCAATTTATCATAACATACCATTTCATGCATCATCATTGTCCTTCATTAGTATGACAATGCATTTTTTTAGTACTATTCCTGTGTCAAATTTTCTTATACTGCTCACTGAAGGGATTCTCAACAGTTTTGTAAAAGTATAGCTTTGAAGTTCTTTATTTCATTTCTTCTTCTGCCTTATGAGGTGCCCCATTTTACCAACTGTTTTCAGATTCCCAGATAACATTGTACTTTTGCATTTTATATCAGAAGGATTAAAGTCTATGGATCATAATATTATTGACATGTATCTTCTTTGAGAGATAATGACCAGAGCCAGCTACCTCCATGAAATTTGGGGGGAAAAATGAAATAGGTTTTCAAGAAAATTTCAGCTTATAATTTTTAAGGTACAATCAGCTCATAAATTTGATAATAAATAGCAAATTGTGCATTGCTTGTTTCATTGGAGTATATTTATAGTTGTTTATTATGGAATAATGATATTTTCTGTATATAAAATACCTCAGATCAAAATATCCTTGTTTGTAATTGTAGCTATTGATACCATTAAGTGAAACTAGTAGACTTTAGTACCATTAAGCAAATGTTACTTATAACATTAACAAATAATTAAACTTATAACATTTATAAATTTTATAAAAGTTTATAGAATATGTACAGTTCTAAAGAGGGAATGGATTATAGAAATCATTAAGTATGTAAAAATCAGGAATGCTAACAGCAACATCTTATAAACAGTGAGCACTGGTAGAATGGTGTGTGTCCAGTGTCTTAACCCTGTAGAAAAATCAAGCCAACGGTAAAACTCAGGGCATCTGATTTTCATCCTGTTTCCTTTCTATATGCCATTGTTTTTCTTTACTATTTCAGTTTTAATCTTGTCAGAAATATGAAACTGATAAATATGTGAATCTATACACCATTCTTTGTCCCGTTTCTACACAACAATGAAAGCTAAGCAAAGGAAAATACCAGTTTTCCAAGTAAATAAATAAGTAAATAAAAAAGCACCTATTACCAATCTGTTTTTTAAAGTTTAACCTTCTCCAAATCATTAAATCAGATATATTTTTTAAATGTAAAGTTTTTAATGTATTTTGCAATAGTAATGGGAACTTAGGAAATCATACACAAGAGTTAGTTTGAAAGACAATTAATGAAAGTATCCTGTAAAACTCTGGTATAATTCTTGCCTTTCCAATGATGCATTTCCCCCCTCCAATCTTGTGGTATTGGCTGAGTTCATTCAACATTGCCTGGCAGTTAAGACAGCCTTTAAGGAAGAATGAATTAAAATCCTAACTTTATCCCTTCTCAACTGAAATATCTAACCTTGGCTAAATAACCTAATTGCTCTAAACTTTGTTTTCTTATACAGAAAATGGGAACGATAATAGTGTCAACTTCATAGTATAGTTGTGATTATAAAATGTGAAACTGTATAATACAGCCTTGTTAGAATTCCTGCCACTAAAATAATTATCATTGTTTCCTTTTGTGTCCATTAATCTGAGGCTAAATGGTTAGGTAGAACAGTCACATTAAAAACTGCTGAAAATAACTACAAATATGATATTAACTAAAATCGGGAACCTATTTATATTTACGCATGTATGTACTATATATTATTATGTAATATATGTTTTATACGATGTACATATGTTTGATATATAAAAGATATATCACATGTTTATATAAATATTAATACATATATAAACCGATTGTCTATCATAAGAGAAGAAACAAATATGATTATTAACTAAAATCAGGAACCTATTTATGTTTACACATGTATGTACTATATATTATTATGTAATATATGTTTTATACGATGTACATATGTTTGATATTTATCTATATATAATATATATCACATGTTTATATAAATATTAATACATATGTAAACCGATTGTCTATCATAAGAGAAGAAACCCTGAAAGAGGATTTTTTTAAAGGGAAAAAAGAAAAATCAGTTAATCCTTGGATATTAGCACTCAGACTCTGGTCCTGTAAGTCACTATGCTTCAGCGCCTCTGAGCTGTCATGCGCAAGCATTCAAAAAGCATGAGAACGCTAATTGCAGTGCAATGTCAAGATTTCTCTTACGTGGCAGTGTGGTTAAGCACTTCTGAAACTTTAAGAAACAACATGAAAACCACAGAAAGAATGTCAGATTGAGCTCTTTGTAGGCATTTTTATATTTAAAAATCACAACCTCTCATGGAAACGTTCTTTTTCCCTTCTCACAGAGAATATTTAGGAAATGAAGTCTAGACAAGTGAAAGGATTGAAGGCCTGGAAGGATTAGCGCTGGTGCTAGGATCACCAACCGAGCTTGGGAAGCATTGGCTACAAAGCATTTGCTCTTGCTCACAGGACTGCCTACTGTTGCACGCATCCAACAAACTGAGAAATGCAGCGTAGCAAAAACTAGTGGCAACGGCTCCGATGCAAAGCTCATGCTCAAAGGCTGTGATTTGTTAGGTCGGATTCAAGTGAAAGGGGTTCTTTGGTAGATCATAGTAGAATCTCTAGGACATGGAAAGGAAGAAGAGCAGTGATGGAGAGAGTGACAATGAAGAGCAGAAGCCGTAGAAATTGCAAGGAGGGTCTGTTCTGAAAACAGACAGGAAAAGAGCCAGAAGCCATGGAAACAGAAATCTAGTCTATAGGAGAAAAGACAGTGAGGCTGTCTTCAAGATTTTTTTATGACATATTCATTTCACTCCTTAAATCTATGAGAAGGGAAGGGGGTTTTGGAGAAGAGGAAGAAAAACATGACTATGCTTCAGTACCATAAAAATTATGACCTTCCTTTAGCACCATAACCTTTTAGTCACCCAAGAAACTGCAGGAACAGTAATTTGCTGATCATCACAGTCTTTGCTGTAGCTGTCATTTAATTTCACTATATAAATAATGTTTTTGATGGTCTTTATAATTTAGCTAATACTTTCTACATCCCAACTACCCAGTCATTTTTACCTTTATATTCTGACGATTTCCTCTGTTGCTCCTTTCTTGTTAATAACATGCAAAAGAAAATCTGTTTTATGTAAACTCAAGAAAATTCATAAGTAGTGTAATCCAGAGCAAACCACTACCTCATAGTAAAATGCAAAACCCGTGTAATTAAATATGTATATACACAGAACTAAGCCACTGCTTTATACTGTTAATTTTGAAAAACTGAGCAATTATTTTACCTTGAAATAGATGTAATCTTAATCTAACCAATATAAAACATAACCCATCCTTTGGACTTACTTATTAAGGCTTTACAATAACCCAGTGAGATAGTTCACTATGAAAAAACTGAATACTTTAGGGGAAAGTAAATGTGAATTTATCACCTAATTAATCCATAATTATCATGTTTGCAGTGCTTAGTTTGAAGTGGTAGTGCATATACAAAGGCACAAAATAATAAAGTAGCTATAAATATTTAGTCAAGTTTTGTTAATGACTCATAACTGACAGTCTAAATTGTCTTTACTCAGTACCTCATCCTCTCATACATTAATAGGAACTGGGCGGTTTAAACATATTTTAAATGAGTGACACCCAATTTTTTAAATGAAATTTTGGAGAGATGGTGATTGGAAAACTTACATACTGATAACATTTAATATTCAAATAGCCACAACATGTAAAGTTGTGGGAAGGGATGACCAATATCTCAGATTTCAATTAGAAAGTTTTAGAATGTTACCATCGAACTGCTTTTTTTATTTTATATCATACAGAATTACTTCAAAAGCAATTTAAACTGTAAAAGATGTTGTGATATTAGATCAATAATCTAAGAATATAAAATCTACCATAGAAAGATATTTTCTCTAATTCTCCAAGGCAGACATTTTAAAGGAAGAAAAGAGATCAAAGCATTTTTTGAAGCTTCACCAAAAATACATTGAAGAGTCTTGGGATTTGAAGGACAAGGATGAAGTTTATATAAGGACATGTTATACACTTCATGTAACTTAGCAACAAGAAAAACACAATGGTGCTTTCAAAGTTTAAAAAATAAAACTTCAGCCAAGTGTAACATTTCATATAGATACAAACAGGCAAAGCCTTACTTAAAAATGTGTAAATGGTTCTGCTGTGTCATCAGAAGGCATTTTTTTCTTCTCTCTTTTTTTTTTGAGACTGCTAGACTATCTCTCACGAGGGAGGTTTCCTGAATGAGTCTATCGTTGAACCCAACAGAGGGCAAGAAAAGCCATCTGGCTGCAGTTTATCTTTTCTCCTAATGGAGAACTTATTCCTTAATGCGCAGGGAAATGATTCTGATGCTCCTGGCATATAGAGAAACAAACTTCTAGAATTTACTCTGCCAATAGGACTTTTAGCAGATGTTACTTAATTTGTTAAGTTGACAGCCTGTTTGCTTACACCGCCTCATGCAGCTGATGTTTTCACAGTGAATTTCGGGAGTTTGAGAACGGCTCCATCTGTGTGGAGTGTGACCCCCAGTGTGAAAAGATGGAAGATGGCATCCTCACATGCCATGGGCCGGTAAGCCTGAGGACATCTGTGGTGGTGTTGGCTTATTTACTTTCATGTATGACTGTTTTTATGTCATTGTTTTATCATTTATCCATCCATTTGATAGGTATTTATAGCATGCTATGGGCTATCATGTTTGATATTCTATCCTTCATAGGCTTATAGTTAAATAGTAGAGATAAGGTATTTAAAAATTCAATTTCTTAAATATTTTTGTCCCAGATAATGTGTTTAAAAAGAAGATGTGGAGTTGTCCTTCAAGATTTCACAGTGTCGAAAGGCAAAGAGATACACAAGTAATTAGATTGAAGCAAAATAATTGATAAAACATAAATATGTATACATTGTTATAGGAACACAAATAAGGGAGAAACTAAATCTATCTATCTTTGGGATGGAAATCGGGACAGTAAGGAAGGCTCTAGAGGAGTGATGTTTGAGCTATAGGTTAAAGAAGAATCTGGGAAAAAGGAAACATGCAAATATATGCAAATATGAAAATTCATGTTATGTTTGAAGTAAACTGTAACATATTTATATCTGCATTTAATCATTTGACTGTTATGGCATTGCAAAGAACAGTTGAACGAAGGAGGAGGCAAGTACTCATAAACTAAAATCTAAAGCATTATGATTAATACTATGGCAGAGAGTAAAACTGAGCTATGAGAGTTGAAGGAGAGTCTATGAGATAAGGAAAGTCTTTACAGATCAGTTGACATTTGTGTGTTTGAAGTTAGCCTTAGAGAGAAAAAAATAATTTTGAGACCCCTTTTGTCCCATCATTCAGGCTTTTTCATCATAGTGAGGTCAACATGAGTTTGTCATTCCAAAGTGCCATATTCATCCTTCTTTAGATAAATTTCCAGTTTGTGTATTGATTCATTGCTCAGATAATTTGGGAACCAATATTTGGGGGTAGCCAGGAGCTCAACATTGCTCAATAAGAATTTACATGGAATTTAAATAGTATAATTTGTCTACCAGAGTGCTTATGCAGCACTTAATTAGCCTAGAAAAAAAAAATATCATTGAGCCCTCCAAACTTCCATTAGGCCCAATGAGCTGTTCTGGAACTTCATCTAAAGAAGGATATGGAAAACTTGGACAGTTCAGAAGAACACTGCAAGAATGATTAAGCTGAGCCAAAGAACCAAAGTCTAAAAGAAAATTTAATATGTAATGATCTTCAAGTAAGTATACAAAAGGCACATGTAGCTATTTTTCTTTTCTCCACCAAGGATACTAATGGAAAATACAATTAATCTGCAGCATGAGAAATGTGAATTCTGTACAGAATGTTATGAAACACAGGGGAGTAGAATCCATGATGGGTTGTTAAAACAAGTTGAGCTACCTGTGTGAGACTGCTTTAAAAACTAACATATTTAGGTATGAAAAGTCAAAGAAAAACTCTGTTTCAGAGTCCAAGACTTTAACAATGTGTATTTACAGAAATCGAGAATTTGGCCATCTACTCTGAACAAGGCAGACTGTAAAAGCAGTCCCTGTTTTTTTCTATTCCTCATGCTGCCTCCTATTATATGCAATTATCTTAGTGAATATATTTCAAATTCTGTTAATTTGTATGTTCTTGAAGTTTATTTGTTAATTTTTTTTGTTACAGAAGAAAATTGGGACAGTTAATAAAATGCACATAAAAAACCCTAAGAGTTAATGTTCTTTCAATTTGCAAAATTATTTGATAACTAAGAACAAGTGAAAAAAATAGGTTGTTAATGGATACATTTGATTCTGTAATGACAGCATTGTTTGGCACATATTTAAGATCACTCCCCAGTGCTGAAATTATCAGCTAATATGTGGAGAGGTTAGGAAAGGTAATGCCAAAAATATAAAAAGTTGAGTAAAACTGAATCGCCTATCTGTGGAAGGTCAGAGCGTGGAATCAAGAATACCTATTGGTCGCTTGATCAGTAAGCCTTGAAATGCTAAGCAGGTAAGAACACAATGTCTTTTAGGTTATGTTGTCTGAGAAATTGTCAGGATTTCAGCTCAAAAATAGCCCAGACTCTGCTTCCAGTAAAGAGGGTTGTTTGCTTTCAGCCTTTATAATTTACATTAAGTTTTTGCCTGTTTCTGGTCCATATGTAGATTATCACAGCTAAGACCATGTAATAACATGCATTTATCACATAAGATATCCAAGAGGTTCTGGAAACTTCTCCATGAGAGTGACACTGTGATGTGATTAACAAAGAAGTCATAAAGCTGGTTGAAGTTTTCACACCTGGTTTTATGATTTATTCTCTTAAAATCACATTTCCCTAACCTGTCACTGTTTCCCTAATGATAATAATTGCAAAATATTTATATTTGCCAAATATAGTTACATCTGAAGCATACTAACCCTTCTTCCATTAAAATATAAAGAAATTGAACCTATAATGCTTAGACAGTTACACCAAAAGTCAGCACTCAGTAAAATGGAGAGCTGGGACTCAATTATGGAAGTTTTGACTCCAAATTTCATGCTCTTTTCATTTCACTATTTTTTTTTCTGCAGGCAACGATTCTGTAATGTATTAAGGATAAAATGCTTTCCAGAAATAAGACAGCTACATGTAAAATGGGAGGGTAGTATCCTATTTAAATGTGACAGAAATCCAGAATGATCTTGGGAGAGCTAATTTGACATAGAGCAACACTGTGCTTCTATATTCTTGTCTGTCTGAACTTGGTCTTCTTTATTTTATTTTATTATTTCTTTTACAGTTTTATCCTTTGTGGCCTCCTTTCACTACTCCTATAGAGTGCTATCAAGAAATGTAAGAAAGGGAATCTTGAGAAGAAAAATAAGAGAAATCAGACAAAGCCATAGATCAAAATATAAGCCAAAGAGGCAGCATGAGAAGAGAGAGAGAAGGAAACAAATTTTTAAAATGTATTTTTATGAGGGTTAAAGTAACTATTAAAGTCAGATTAATAAAGGTTGTGCTACTATAACAAATCACCCCCATTTTACAGTAGCTTATAGAAAAATGCTTAAATCTTCTCCATGTAAAGTGCACTGCAAGTTTTGGAAATAGTTTAAGGCAGCTCTCCACCCCGTGATGGTGTAGCATTCCAGGATGCTTTGAATTTATGGCATTTCTCCAACTCCATGGTGTCCCTGAATCATGGAGCAAAGAAAGAGAGGGCTAGAGAATTCAGCACTGGCAGTCTCACAAATCACTTTCCCTTCATTTCATTGTCCAAAGCAAGATATACCTCACCTATGGTGGGAAGGGAATTTCAATCTTCCATGTGTCTGTACTTGGAAGAGAACTGGATACTGGTGAATACCACCTTTGTCTCTTACAGTAGCTACCAAAGAAAAATATCATTTGTTACTGAGAAAAAAACTGTAATTTTTCTATCAAGTTTTAGCCTATTCTTTAGTTTTCTGTCTAGATTATTGAGTCCAAAGTAGCTTAAAGTTACAGATAAAAAAAACTATTATCTTCACCTCTGTTTTCTGTAATTGTATTTATCAGTTCATTTGTTATAACTAAGTTCTTAAAAGCTTTGGGAATATAATGATAGAAGAGTAAGCATTAGACACACATATTTATTTAAATCTCTTTATTATGGAAATAAGATGGAGGATTGGTACATTTCATTTCTTTTGAGATTTGTCAGGACATTTTTTAGTTATGTCAGCTTAGGGCAGTAGTTTTGTGTTGCAGTAATAGGATCAAATAATTAAAAGATACTTTTTAAAAAGGAAGTAAAAAATTATCTTATTAAAGTAAACATAAAGATTGAATATGAATTTAATTTTAGTGTCAAAGTTTTTTATGTCTTCTCATTGTACCTGGACATTATTTTACATCAGAAGAATTTTATACGAAAATCGTTACTAATTCCCAATTTTGAATATAACTGCTCAATTTACTTATAGTAAGTTTTATTCTTGTGTTCTGCAAGAAGACATCAGCATGTCTCTTGCACAATAAGTGATGCTACTGAACATACTTGCACAGTAAATGATTTTGTATAACAGACAGCATTACGTGCCTAAGTACCCATAAGCAGGTGTTAAAATTGGAAGCATGTGAAGTATTCTTTTTTGGTAGGAACTAAGAAGTTGCCAATAGCAAACTCTTCAGATTGAATAGGGATTAGGTTTCATAAAATCTTTTTATTTTTTTATAGCTCTAAGGCTCACATCAAAATAGGGAAATAGGTGCTTGATTGAACCTCACCAATCTCAGGATTTCTAGAAAACCCTTCCTGATTATTTTTTTCTTCTTTACAGGACCATTCTCCATTAGCAGCCTCTATCTTTTAATTTTAAAATGCTATATTTTATGATTTTCTGATGCTTTATATCACCAACATGCAACGTCTGCCTACTTCTGGCTTATCATTTGTAGAGGAATATAATGCACTCCCATGAATAAACTAATGCTCACACTTCCTGCCAAATATATAACTCTGTATAATGTTTGTCCACTATTGACTCCTAAATTCACATTGCTTACAATTATAAACCTAATAAAATGATCTCCCTGTATAATTACTGCATGTTATTCTTCTTAATTGCTTTCAGTGTGAACTATCTTAATTGTTGAACCATGTGGGCATAGACAGATTTAGAGGGGAAATGAGTTAAGGAAGAAGTTCCAGGTAGTGGTAAAAAAAAAAAAAAGGAATCTTAAGACAACGTAATATTCAAAAAGGAGAACTGAAAGTAATTTCATTATTCAAAACAGTTGAATGTGTGAAAATATATGGGCATCTTTTAAGAAAACAGCACTTTATATCAATATGTTCTTAATTTTCTTTGATTTGAGGATATACTAATCATTTCCTACATGTTTATTATCCCAACACCAAATCCAAATCAGTGTTTTTGTAAAATTCTTCAATGTTTTATGTATTTTAAGCTTTTACTTTTGTTGTGATGTTCAGATATATTTGCATGTTATTGTGTCTTATTAACATTCTACATATTAGGAAAATATTGTATATTAAAACATATGTGAAGTGAGTTCTATTTTAAATTTATCATGATTGTATTTATATTACCTTTATTCTTAGATAAGTTTTTGCATGTAATTTTCCTTTGTACATATCTGTATTATTACAGAGTTTTGATATTTGCTCATCAGAATGTACCTTTATTATGCTCAGTGTTGTACATGATTTATTAAAATAACCATGCATAGACATGGTATGATTTTTAGCAGTATTACAAGCTGAGTTGAAGTGAAGAGTGACCTAGAAATTAACTTTTACTTGCCTAAACTAATTCCTGAGTTCAACCATAGTAAATTTTAAAATTCATTGTTCAAATTGTCAGTGTATAATCAAAATAAGTTTACATCTCACTTTTATATGAAATTCAGAGTTAGCTAATTCCTAACATTTCCTTCTCCGCATTAACTACTTAGATAGGATATTGACATATTCTTATCATTGTGATGAGAAACCCCCTAGAGAAAATGGATTGTTACCCAATGTTGTTTCACTGTACTATCATCCGGAATAAAAGACGAAAAGAAAATATGGTCATCCTTCTATTTTGCTGATTGAAAGCTACAATAGCAACATCCTCATATGTACTTCTGCAAATGCTCCCCAGCTCCCTGGAGGGAGATTGGCTACCCACTGAAGTTTTAGGAACTAAACAATGGGAATACATTCCAGAGAAAATAGCAACCATGTTTCCTTCCCCATTCTGTTTTGTTTTTACACTTCAGGGACCTGACAACTGTACCAAGTGCTTCCATTTCAAGGATGGCCCAAACTGTGTGGAAAAATGTCCGGATGGCTTGCAGGGGGCAAACAGTTTCATTTTCAAGTACGCAGATCAGGATCGGGAGTGCCGCCCGTGCCATCCAAACTGCACCCAAGGGTAAGCATCCTTGCCAGCCAAAGACTCAGTCTTGTATGTATTGCAAATCACAAGGTACACACATGTATCTTTATTCCTGAACAGTCTACTAAATATGTAATATTCTCATACAAAACTCTGTTCGTGTGTATATTAACATGCTAATTTTAAGAGAAATCCTTTCTAAGAAAATGGTCTGTGAAACCAAATTCATACCCTCTGAAATATTTTCATTTCACATTTACCAATAATTATTCTATTGACAACTTCGTGAAGCTGGTGTCAAGTAAACTTTGTACGGAGTATAAAAATTCTTCCAAATATTCCTGCAGATAGAAGATGTCAGAGAAGACAAAACACTAAAAATACTTTTGAGATTTGTGCTTAATAAATCTTTAACTGAGGTTTTCAGTTCCTTTTTCTTTGTTGTTATAACCAGCTTAAATTGAGCATATCGCTGTTTGACAAAAATGCTGCCTTGGATTAAACCATCAGCAAAATGTAAGAAAAAGCAGTGATGGCAGAACACACGAAGAGAAACTGTGTTACGTATATTAATAAAATTATATTTTGTGAAAGTAATTTGACTACAAGTTAACCTATAACTTAGAATTTCTGTGACCAATATAGGACAATTTGAAGATGGGTACATATTTTTCTGTTTTTCAAAAGGATGCATGGTAAAATGAACAATAATTGGATACTTTGATATTGTTAACAGTTGAATAACAAAGACGTATTACAGGAAGAAGGAAAGTGCTGAACTGTACAAGAAATAATGTCAGTTATCTAACAAATCCCAACAAATATTTCTTTAAAAAATAGCGCATCTCTTTTAGGAAGGATCGTCCTTTCTCTTTCCTCCAGAAAGTGAATAATTTTAGAACTGAGATCAGTTTCACATACTGTATCCTCCTTCTGACCATAAAACCTCTTCTCCATTGTGAGTGCCCCCACGCATGTGCACACACACGTACAAACACACACCTTGTTGGGAATCATCATGAGTTCTTTATATCTGGCAGGAAAGTATGAGATTCCATAAAGAAATTTGCTGCCAGAATAAAGTCTGGCTGTTAGGGGACATTGAAGAAGTTAAGCAAACATCATTTTCTGCCAAGAGGACATCAATTTTCAGATGCTGCTTCAATTTCCTGCAGGTCAAAAAATCAGCTTAAATCCCTCTGTGAAGTGGCAGATCCCCAAAAGGTAATGTTCTGCCATTCAAATTCAAATTTAGTTTGGAAAAGCCAGTGCCAGCTCTTTGGTTTCCACATAAGCACATAGGTTGAGATACTAAAATAGTTACATAGATGCTTTGCTTCAAGGAAACTAGAAGAAACAAACTACTCCCACTGTGGCTGTTTGGCGCACTTGGGTTAAGAGTATTTCATGAAGAAACAACTGGTTCTGCTGGAGCAGAAGGAAGAGTCAGCAACAGAAAGAGAAAACTTTGTCTGCTAAAATAATCATCCACAAGAGGGTTTTGTTTTGCAGCTAAAATTAAACCAGTAAATTATTCAATATAATGTTGATGTCAACAGCTGTTGCCATTCAAAATGAGACCTTTTGCTGTTTTTGCAAATCTAATTACAATGAGGCCATTAGGGAAATGAAAGTGAGATCACGGAGCCATAGTCTGGATATGTGGCTGGTGAGTCTTCCCCTCAGCCCTTTTAAATCCCAATTATATAATAAAAGAAAACATGTAGCTTGGGGGGAAGGAGAAGTAGGGACAATGAAGAGATCAATTTATCACAGCAATAAAAATTGGATGTCAGCCAAGCGGTAGGGCGCATGTGTAATAGGGAACAAATCTGACCACATCGTTTGGGAACTCCCAACGAAACAGGAGGATGTCTTAACATTCACTGCTGCAGAATGATGATGAGACAGAATCGGAATGATATGCTCCCTGGCATCTTCCAAGGTAATTCTGTAATGACTGACTTAGACCTGAGAAGTTTAGTATCTGTGTACATTTAGCTTCCTGCCGTCCTTTTCCTAACAGACTCCATATTGGCCAGGTTCAGTCATTCATGAAAGTTCTGTGGCCCCAGCCCCATGACAGAATTTAGGAATTTGAAATCCCTCCTCTATACACTACCTCTGTGCAACACTGTGCTTTGAGACCCTTTGTTGAAGCCATGAGGTGCTATGGGCAGTCAGTCCCTTCTTTTCAAATGGAACATGTACTTTTCCCTAGAAAGATCACAGGGGCAGTGGGGATGATGGGACAAGTGGCTATTTTTACTCCTAAACACATGTAATAACTGACCCATCGGTAAGTGTGAGCTGACCGAGCCAGCTCCATTTTGGAAAACAGCTTTTCTTTTTATGCCAATATTATGTCAGCTAGATAATTCAAGGACCAAGTTAATGGAAATAGTCTTTCAAATCACATTTTTTTAGAAGGAAAGTTCTCACTTTGAATACTGTTTAATGATTTTCTGAAAATAAAATTATCTGTGTAATACCTTAAAAGTACTTTCACTACTCTAAAAGTACATTAAATAAATTGGCTCTAATATGTTCTTTAGGTACTTTTAAAATAGGTTATCCATTTAGCACCTATCAGGAGATTCTTACTAATATTCCTAAAGGGAAAAGAAAAATGATATTGTTTCTCCTTGCCTTGACTAGAGGACTTTTATTTTAGCGGCCTTTTCTCATTTCATTTATTCTTGCACTTTATTATGTTGAACACCTACTGTGAGTCAGATATAGTGATAAATGATGAAGACACAGTTCCTGACCACTAGGAAGTCACAGTCTAGTGAAGTTTCATTCTTACCCTTTATATCATTCCATTAAACACCCTTTTCCATATTTTGAACTGAGAGCATGAATTTAAAATTTAGGAATGATTTGCATGTTTGAAATTATTTGGGCAGAAATTTTGAGACAGGACTCGAAAACTAAATTTGGTGTGTAATTAATAGTCATAAAGGCAGAGATTATAGTAACATCACTTGAGTCCATAATAAAATCAATTTAATTTTTTTAGACATGATCTAGGATATTTATTTTTCATAAGGCATCTTTTAAAAAATTGACTACATGTTTTTGTTAGTATTAGAATTGTGGTTTCATATTATTAAATTTCCTGTAAGATTTAAGGTTTCTATCAATCCTTTTCATATTTAAAAAAAAATTTAATTGACACTTTAAAATATTTCTTAATTTTTCATTTCAAAATTTGGGGAAGATTTTGTCAAACTATTTCAACTATGTTAATTATATGGGTACATCAAAGTGCTTACAAATCAATAAGTGCAGCACATGTTAACATAGTTCAATATTCAGAATCCCAGGTATTTTTGTAATATGTTCTATAGGCATACAATAGTTTCTGTTTCTAATCTTTCTGTACATTTTCTACTTTGGAATGCTAATTTGGTAGAGAGTTGTATTATTCCATGTATTTATTCAGTTCTTTATTTGGGATTTTGACTATTCAAACGTTTAATGTTTCATTATTCTGTAATCTTGCCAAATCAATATAAGTTGCATGTGCCAGTTAGATGAGATAAAGAGAAAGTATGAGGAGCTGAAATAGAATATACATCTTTAAATACACAGTGACTTGTATTTAGAAGAGATGGCACCACTTCTGTCACATCCTTATTCTTTGGTGGTTTCCATTTTTGTCTTTTATCCTCAGTTAAAACTCAAATATCCTAGACGGTGCCCTCAACATATCTTCTTGACCCCCCATCCTGCCCCCCTCAGGATTCCCCTCCTCTTCCCCTTGCCTCTAGACTCTAATCTCCAATTTGCTTCTCGACTCACAGCAACCTAGTTCTAGTGACCTCAACAATGGCAACTAAAATACTCCGGGGTTCTTATTTTATGCCAACTGTCTTTGCATTTGGCACAATGATTACCCCATTTTCTGAAGTTCTCTTCTGATATGGCTCTCGTCATGCTATAATTAATTTTTACTCCATTATGTGTACCTAATGCTTCTGACATGTGAGCTCATTTTATGTCATTTGCTGGTTATTGGAGTTCCACAGGTTTCAGTCTGTCTTTGGTTTTCTCATTTTATAGATCTTTTCTCAGCCACTGTATCTATTTACATGACTTCAACTTTCTCCTGTGTGTTCTTTCAAATCTGATCACTAGCTTGTGCCTTCTTTCCCCACCTAGCCACACACTCATCTTCCCAGCTCCTGAGAGCATTTTTCCCTAGATGTAGGAAACCACACTAAGCTCTAGATAGATAAAACTGACATTATCAACCCCTCCTCCCCCAACACACACACACTAGGAGGGGAGTTCGTCCTGTTGCATTTTCTCACAGGTGGTACCTAACTCCTCTGATCAACTTCCATCATCAAATCAGCCATCAGTTTCTCTTTTTTCTGCTCATGCCTTTCAAGGTATTTCTTAAATCTATCCCTTTACTTCTGTTCTAGCTGTTATTCCTTTAGTTTAATCCTTCGTCACCACTTACAGAGAGTAAAACAGTCTTTGTACAAAGGGATCTCCCCGGCTCCTGGCTGACTAGCCTGCACCGGGCAAAGTGATCTCTGTAAAACCCAAATCTGGCAATTTCACTATTTCTTCAAAACCCTGCTGTGGTTTTTTCATTAAGTTTGTTCCTAATATTTTCAGATGCTGCTTCAATTTCCTGCAGGTCAAAAAATCAGCTTAAATCCCTCTGTGAAGTGGCAGATCCCCAAAAGGTAATGTTCTGCCATTCAAATTCAAATTTAGTTTGGAAAAGCCAGTGCCAGCTCTTTGGTTTCCACATAAGCACATAGGTTGAGATACTAAAATAGTTACATAGATGCTTTGCTTCAAGGAAACTAGAAGAAACAAACTACTCCCACTGTGGCTGTTTGGCGCACTTGGGTTAAGAGTATTTCATGAAGAAACAACTGGTTCTGCTGGAGCAGAAGGAAGAGTCAGCAACAGAAAGAGAAAACTTTGTCTGCTAAAATAATCATCCACAAGAGGGTTTTGTTTTGCAGCTAAAATTAAACCAGTAAATTATTCAATATAATGTTGATGTC